CCCCCCCCCCAGCGCTGCCCACCCAGCGCTGCCCACCCAGTGCTGCCCACCCAGTGCTGCCCACCCAGTGCTGCCCACCAAGTGCTGCCCACCCAGTGCTGCCCACCCAGTGCTGCCCATCCAGCACTGCCTGCAGCTGGAGAGCAGCGGGATTCCCGGCAGCAGGACTGGGGGAGGCTGTGCTGGGGAACAAGGAGGGATCTCTCCCTTCCTTCCCCCCGGGCTGGGTCACACCAGCACTTGCACGGCTGTGGGGAGGACAGAGGGAGGGCTGGGGGTCACTGGGTGGTGAAGGTCCCAGTGACAGCCACGAACCCAGGGGCTGATGGGGCCCAAAGGGGCCTTTCCTTTGGGTTTTTTTTCTCCCGAGGAGCACGGAGAGCTGGGGCACTGGGAGCACGGATCAGGGACATACCTGTGGGCAGGTGATGGTCCCCTCCTCTCATGAGGGGGCTGCACCAGCCCCTCGTGTGACCTGAGGGTGAGAGAATGAGACAAGGAAGATGTTCTGCCTCACCTGGGGCCCGTGGGCTCAGTGCAGTGCAAAGGCTGGGGGTGAAGGAAGACCCTTCCCCTCTGCTCCAGGGCAGGTTTCCCATCCCAGCTCACACAGATGACACAGGCACATGGACACGGGTTTCATGAAGACTGGTGCTCTCCTGAACTCATCCCCAGCCCACAGCTGCTGGAAGGACAGAAAAAAAAGAATCCTGACAGCCTGTGCCCTGGTAGGACCAGCAGCAGCACTGTGGGCATCTTTCAGACAGAGACAGTGTCCCCTGGGAAAGCACCTGCCTGCTAAGAAAAAGTGTGGGCAGGATCTAGTGGATCTAGTGTTATAACTTATGGGCTGGTGCTCGTTTTCCTTCCGTTCCAAAGCACCTTTCCTCAAGCAGGATCTGCTGTCCCACTGTGCCAGGTCACAGCATTTCCAGAGCACGAAGCAGCTCCTGCCAGCAGCTGGACCCGGGCTGGGTCCCCTTGCCTGGCGTTTCACTGGCTGCCCCTTGTGCAACCAGAAACCTGGCAGTCTGGGACCAGCTCCTCCTGACATCCTACAGCACCTCAGCACTTAGAGAGGCATTTGCTCTCTGGCAACACGCCAGGGAATTTCTTTGTAGCTCCACCAATTTGAGAAACAGTTTCCTTAAATAGAGCTAAAAAAGACAAAGGAAAGACTCTAAAAGGAAGAGACATTAGCAGGGGCGAAGTGGTGCCAAACGCTCATGTCAGCTCTCCTGTCAACCTGCTGGAGTCAACCAACCTTGGGGCTGGATCTGAGCCTTGTGCTGCTCATGGCTCATCTGAGCTGCTGCAGGGCTGGTTCCTGCCCCAGCTCACCCTGCAGCTGCAGAAGCATTTGGGCCAGCCCGAAGAGAGGGTCAGGGCTTGGGAAACGGGTGCCCCAGGAGGGTGAGGAAGAGGCTGCATCTTGTCAGGGCACCAGCAGAGCTCCAGACCCGTGGGGATCCCAGATGGAACCTCCCAGAGCTCCGGCTGGTGCCCGGGCTCTGCCAGCCCCATCACCTGCCTGCAGAGCACATTGATGCTGCTCATTCACAGGGCAAACCCCCCTCAGCACCAAGATGTTCTCCTCAGGAGCCCTGTTTCCAGCAGGCACAGGGCAGCAGAGGGGGGTCCTGCCGAAGCTCCTACAGCCCAGCCCTGCAGTAGCTGAGAGGGATCATCCTGCAGGCACAGGGAGCAGGGCAGAAGAAGGAAGCTGAGGGGCTGAGCAGAGATGCAGGGTGGGTGCAGGAAGTGGGGAGGGCTCTCGTGCCCTGTCTGCCCAGAGCTGCAGGGTGCTGCCTGCCTGCTCCTGCCCGGGCCGTTCCCAGAGAAGTGACACATCCCAGCTGTGCCCCTGGGATTTACCTCCTGCACCCACAGAAATCCTGTGTCTGATTTGACTAGAAAACCAGCACAGCCAAGTTCAGTTCCAGACTGGGACTCACCAGCTCACCATTTCCCCAGCAGTAATTCTACCAAAATGCCCCCCAGTCGGGCAGGAAGAAGCCCTTACATTGATTTCAAGGCAGCAGAATTTGTCCAATTCTTTTGAGAGTGGAGAATAATGAAGAAGTCTTAGTTCTTCCTGTCTTTGTCTTCTACCAGGGCTGATTTCACTTCCCCATCCCCAGTTTTGCCAGGGAGTTGGGTGGAAGAGGCAGAGGAGTCAGTCTCTGGGAAATTGAACATTACCCAGGTTTGCTTAAGGCTTCGTTACACTCGTGTGGCACCATCCACCTAATTTTTCACTCTCTATGTGCTCATTCCTGGAGTGCACACTTTTCTCCTTGTCCCAGAGCCAGGTGACCCTGTGACTCACAGGCAGACAGAGCTCACATCTGCATCTCTTCAGTCTCATCTGGGAGGGGAGCAGCTCCTCACTGCAGACCCACACACTGCTGGGCTCCCCTGCAGAGAGCAGATCACAGCTTTCACACTCTCTCCCCACTGTTTCCCACCACTTCCCACAGCTTTCCTTGGCTCCTCTGTCTTCTAGAGGAAGCACCTCCCTTCCTGAGCCTTTGCTGGTTGTTGTACTGATTCCTAGTGGAAATGGGGGCTCTTGCTGAAAGTGTCACCTGAATTACAGCAGTGTTCTTCTCAGAAAGGTCCAAGTAAAGAGCATTTTTCAGCCACCTTGGGGCCTGAACTGAAATAGTATACCTGAAATTTAAATCAAGTATTGGAATTCAAAGAAGCACCCGTCTGATGTCCCCTGAACCGCCTCATTTCCTATAGTGACTGCAGGGCGATTATCTATATTGATAAGGCAGCAGCTTTGCACTCCAGTTACACTTCTGCCACATAAAACTGTGCCTGGGAAGAGGAAGCAGCTCAAGGGTTTGTTTATTGGCTGCTGGTAAGCAAGTCTGGGGAGGCATTTCCATTTTTTTTTCCCTTTAAAATAGATTTCCGAAGTGTGTGACGGATCTCGGGCTGCAGGAGGGATGCTGTGAGCCTCAGGAGATGCAGCCAGAGGGGGAATGTTTCCTGGAGGTCGAGGGACTGGCAGCTCTGTGGAAAGGCAAGAGCTGATTCACTGAGGACGTGCAGCACTGGCAGAGGTTTGGGCACTGCAGTCACTGGAACAGCTGAGCCCTGGACACACAGGACGGATCCCACAGAAGATCATCGATGCCATTGGTCCCTTCTGCAGCTGAGGCCAAGGTGGGAGCATCTCCAGCAGGTTGCCATGCCCAACAGCAGCGTGGTGCTAAGCAGCCTGGACGGGTTCTACATTGGTGCCGAGTGCCTGATCGCTTTGTTTGCCACTTTGGGGAACATCCTGGTGGTGTGGGCAGCGAAGCTGAACGCGACGTTCCAGAACACAACCCTGTACTTCCTGGTGTCCCTGGCCCTGGCTGACATCGCCGTGGGGCTCCTGGTCATGCCCTTGGCCATCGTGGTGAGCCTGGGCATCCGCGTCCGCTCCTACGCCTGCCTGTTCATGTGCTGCCTGTTGGTGGTTTTCACCAACGCCTCCACCCTCTCCCTCCTGGCCATCGCCATCGACCGCTACCTGCGCGTGAAGCTGCCCATCAGGTGAGTGCTGCAGCACCACGGGCTGCCCTGCCCCTGCCAGCTTCCCCGTGCCCAGCCTCTGTCCTGCCAGTGCCACCTCCTCCCTCCTCCTTAACTCGGCCCTTTTCTCCCAAAGACTGAGTCTAAACACACATTTGTCTGTGGAGAAAGTACCTGTGCCTTCAAGGCCACCCAAGATGAGCTGCCTAGAGCAGGAACCACCTGTGCAGCTCATAGCACAGCCTGGGCAGACCCTGGGTGGGGGGGAGGGTGTTTCTGCAGGACCCCTGTCTCTGTTCTACTGCTGATCAGGATTTGGCCACAAGAGCCTGTGGTCAAATACCTGGATTCTCCAGATGTGCAGTAACTTGTGCAGGATGTTGAGAGTACTGTAGGTTCCTTTGCATTTTTGAGATTGGTCCTTGAAATAAAATTCCTTAAGTGTTTGCTGAAAATTAAATAATAATAATAAAAAAAAAGTACAAGACTTAAGGGCCAGCTGAAGAAACCATTCACTCTATGTTTGAATGGGAAAGTGTGTAAGCTAGAAATGCAAAGCATAACCCCACACAGGAAAGAACTATTTATGGGAAAAGGACCTATGAAAATGAAGAGGGAAAGGACAGTTTGGTCCTGCAAATGGCATAAAGCACATGCAAAGAGTAAGGTAGCCCTGAGGGAGCTGAGTGGTCAGACAGGACTGCAAACAGAGGACAAGCAGCATCTGGGCAAGAGCAGCACTAAGTTCATAATGAAATTAGAAAACATCCAATTATAAAAAGAGGGCAAGTTAAGCATCATTCATCTTATGGGTGCTGCAAAGTAACTGGTACAAATTAAGGGCTTCTCAGAATAAGATTCCCCCTTCAAAAGCAGCTAATGCTCCATGAACAATGAACCTGTAGTATTTGAACATGAGTTCTCGAAACCTTAACTATTTTAAGCACTTCTGTTTAACACACCCTGGGTTTTCTTCCCCAATAGGTATAAGATAATCACTACAGAGAGAAGAGTCTGGTGGGCACTGGGTTTGTGCTGGTCTGTGTCTCTGCTGTTGGGATTAGTCCCCATGTTTGGATGGAACAAGGCAGAAGGAATAAGCTCTGACTTGCCCAGGTGCCGATTTACCTCTGTGATGAGGATGGATTACATGGTGTATTTTGGCTTCTTCACATGTACCCTTGTCCCCCTGCTCATCATGAGTGCCCTGTACATCGAGATCTTTTACATCATCCGGAAGAAGCTCAGCCAAGGAGCAGCTGGTGTGAGAGGGGCACGAGGCTTTTATGGACAGGAGTTCAAGGCAGCCAAATCTCTAGCACTTGTTCTCTTTCTCTTTGCCATATCCTGGTTGCCTCTGTGCATTATAAACTGCATTTCCTATTTTTGCCCTGACTGTCATATCCCCCCCTACCTGATGTACCTGGGAATCCTGTTATCCCACATCAATTCTGCCGTGAACCCCATTGTCTATGCGTGCAAGATAAAGAAGTTCAAGAACACCTACCTTTTCATTCTAAGGACCTACATCCTGTGCAAGAAGCCAGACCCAGTCCTTAGAGGGCAAACATCAGACCAAAGATCATAAGGACAAATGTTGACCTGCCAGCACGTACCAGACACTGATGAACCACTTTCCTTTGTTAAGAAACTCATGGACAGAAATGTTCTGTTTCAGCTACTTTCTCTCTTGCACAAACTGCTTTAAGATAAGGGGAATTATGAGAAGGGGAAGCTCCTCTTACTCAATCTGAGGCACATTTGACATTAAGCTCAAAAGGACCTTAAGATCTTCTGCATTATTGTACCCAGAGCATTCTGCTTAGTGGTTGCTGTACCAAGCCCAGATCTTCCAGGCAAGCATCTTCATTTAACAGGATCTTCCAGTTTTCATTAATGGCACTTGGTAGAGCAGCACCCCAAAGCACAGGTAACAAGGCAGACTTTTTGCTTCTACACAGCCAGACGTGCCCTTTCTTTTTTGTGTCCAGTAGCACCTGTAGTAGCAACTGCAGCATCTCCTGCAACACCCACCTGCAGATGAACAACTCTATCAAACCTCCCTCATCTGCTGCAGGTCTCCTCTGTAAACCTGAAGAACAGTCACACTTTGTAGCAACCTGTTACAGAGCTGAAGACTGCTCTAAAGGTGTATGTAATGATGTGGAGAGGTTTGTCTTTGTACTAAATCATTTCAAAATACAGAAGAGATACTTAAAGCAAAGTTTGCCCTTTGTTGTTTTGGGTTTTTTTCCACGAGGATTGGCTGGGTCCATGGAAAAATAGGATAAATGTGCTCTTTGTTGCTGGAAATGCAGCAGTTGACAACCCAGGCATGTCCTCACCAACTGTTCTTACACCCTTTGTCTTCTCTGTCTATTTAGGCTGCACATTTGAGTCTGGTCAACCTGCACTGCAGTGTCATCACATTTTCGTGGGTAACAATAAATATTAGATGGATTTTACGTTACTTCAGCTTGCTCTTCTCCCACAACAACCAGAAAAGCAGCCTGCAGGAGATCTCCACACTGTAGTTGGTGACCTGACCAGGAGGGCACAGAAATTGCAGGACTGTTACAGCTCACACAGCCCTGCTCCCAGGGAACACGGGTCAAGATGGAAATAGGTCATTAAGGGCCAGGATCCTTCCTCTCCACCTCTAAATAACAAAAGTCATTAGAAAAAGCAGAAAAGGGAGTGCATCATTCTGTTCTTTATCTTGCCTTTAGCTGAGATCAGGCAACTCCATTTATTATCTGATTTACCCCTTATCAGAGACCGAAGCTGTGCAGCTCTGTCAATAACCGGCCCGGCAGAGGAAGTCACAGCAGAGCTCTGCTCCACCATCTCCCTCCATCAGATGACAGAAGTGATTGCTTTCTGCAGAAAAGCAGACCCCACCTCGAGAGCACGGAACTGCTGGTTCCAACACAACCTGCCCGTGGGTTGTGGGGAGCGGGGGCAGCGCCCAGAGCCCCCCGGGCTGCGGGAGGTCCCGGCCCGGCCGCTCCCCCCGCCCGGTGCTGGACCAGGGCTCTTGTCCTGCCCGAGAGACCCCCCCGGAGAGCAGCTCACCCCCCTGCCGGCTCGGACCACAAGAGGAGGAGGCTCCCGAAGCCCCAGGTGTGAGCAGCGGGCAGCTCAGCTCCGGTTCAGCCCCGCAGCACCGACGGGGATCCCTCACCACGGGCACAGAGGTTCTGTGGCTGCTGAGTCACCAGCGGTTACTTTCCCCCAGCTGGTGAAAAGAGGAATATTTTTAACTTTCTACAATCTGTTCAGAGCAGTAAGAACACGAATTCACATTTCTAGACACGGTGGTGGTTGCACTGCCAGGGTGCTTGTGTTTTGTGCCACCCCAGCAGGAAGCAACATCTGCACATCAGCATCACTTCAAGGGGCAGCAAGTCCCTCAGCAGAACACCTGGCCATCAGAACACCAGGACAAATGCTGCTGTCAGTGACAGAGAAGGGAAACATAAGGGCGTGAACAGACAGAGAAACATCTCAGTTTTTCAGTTCTCTTTGGCAGCTCAAAGCAACAGCAAACACACCAGTGGGAACGTTACAAGTGCATTGCAGGGACTCGCTGGGATTCCTGCAGGTGAGGAGATGCAGCCTAAACAGCAGGTCTGGCCACCCTGATGGCAAGCAGCTTGGGATGGGAGACACTGATTTCTCCTTGTGACTATAAAATGAGCTGATGTTACATATGGCAGTGCTGGCATTCCTCAGAGCACTACAGGTCTAATGTTCCAGCAGCATCTGAGGTGCAGAAAGTGCAAACATCTTCACTCCACCAGAACCTTCCCTGTCACACAGCTGCTGGCGTCCGACTTTGCTGGAAGACCAGGGTGGAGTAGGAAACCTCATTCTGGGGACGTGAAAGAAGCCACAGCCATTAGAGCACGTGCAAGCATCACATCTTAGCATAAACTTCCTGCTTTGCATCTGTCCTCAACACCACAGGCAGCCACAGCCTGTCCCTGCATGTGGGAAATCCTGCAAACTCGAGGCTGGATCAGACCCCTTGTTTGTCCAGCTCAGGATCCTGGGTGGACTCTGCATTAGGGGCTGGCAAAGAACCAGCAATGGGAACAAAAACTGCAGAAATGCTTGCCCTTCAAACACATGTTCCCCTAACCTGCCTAATTAGTGATTCAGTTAAGCCTCAGGACCCTGGAAACACAAGGCAAGTGTGACATTGGTGCCCTGAGCAAGCAGAGAAGCAACATCTTCATGCTGCTCTCCAGGTACCTCCTCAGGTGACTCCCTGGCAACCAGAAACAGGGGAAGCCTTGGACACACCAAAGGAAGAACTTTCCCTTAGCCAAAAGATCTGTCAGCAAATGCTCCAGCTTTGCAAGGACAAACCCTTTTTCTCCCCTCTCCCTTCCCAGTTAGTATTTGCTATTCCATCAAGATGTGAAGTCTCTGCATAAAACAATAAAAACAAGAGCTGTGGCCTTTACCTGGGTGTTGTCAGCAGACTCCTCAGTCACTGTCTGGGAGGAAACTTGTTCTTGTAAACGTTGGCAGGATCTCTTGCACTCTAGGGAGGAGAGGGACCCCAGTCCCAGCTGCCAGCCCTGTGCTTGGGGACAGCAGGCTCAGGGGGACACAGCAGCAGAGCGTGGCTTAGACAGGTCTTGTAAGACCTGGCACAGACCTTCCCTGCACTGTGAGCAGCTTGGCAGCCCTGGGAGGAGGGTGGCCCAGTCCCTGCCCACCTGCTGGAAGCAGCTGGACTAGGATGAAAGCAACTGCTGGGAACTCAGAATCAGAACAAAAAAAACCCCTCCAAAGCCAGACAGTGCTCATCAGTGCTGCAGTTAATTCTTCCACTTCTCTGCCACCAGGTCCAGATCATCCTGCTGCCCTTCTTCCCCCCCCTGTGCCACTTACTTTTCCTGAAGAGGCAGATGATGACAAAAACCAGAACAGTCACCAGGATGCCAGAGATAAAGGCTAACGACAAGCAGAGTATTTCATGGCTGTTGATAGACAGAAACTGGGGTCAGAGTTCCCAGTTTTAACAGAGGGGTTGAAGAATCAGTAGTTATCAAATGCACCAGACTTTATGAAGTATAATGTATCATTTATCCCAAGCCCCATGAGCCTAAAAGGTGTGTAACTGCATTAAGCATCACAATGAATTAAATACCTAGTGCACAGACTAGGGAATTCTACACAAGCTTGTAAAACCCCAAGACATAAAATGTACTGCATATAACTCCTGCTGGTGGGAGGAGGCTGCAGTCTGAGGGGATTTGGTGTTTGAAATCAGGAAATAAAGGTGGAGCATTTACTCATTAATCCAGCATTTAACTTCTGAAGCTTTTGAGTCAGCTGTGGAGGTATAGACAGGGACAGTAGTGGGAATGGGTTTTGGTGTAGCTGCAAGTGAACACAGAAAAAAATACATCAAAAACTGGTTTTAAAACATGTTAATTCCTCCAGCAATATTACAAGCAACAAGAACTACCTAAAGCCAAGCACCTATTAAAGGAAGTATTATTGTAAATACATCACTTCTCCATTAAGAGAGCTGAAAGTGGGTCAAAAACATTCAGTTATTCAGTTCCCCAGCAGCCTTGGGCAGCCCTGTGGTTCTTCCCCAAACACACACATCTGCACAGCAGCCCTTTGAGCCAGGACACCACCAGCTTCATCAAGAGCACTGCATGGAACAAAATCCCTTACATCAGAGAAATACCTTTATGTTCTGTCGAGGAGCCACCTCCCATCCTCTCCAAGCACTGACCAACAGTAAGGGCAGCTAAAAGGAGGGAGGGGGAAAAAAGTATTATTTATATACATGCATGTACACAGACCCTGGAGCAAAACAAAGGCAACCCCTCTCCTCAGAAAGTTAATGGATTAACTGATGAGTGTTTCAGGCATCCCCTGCACAAAGGCAGAGCAGAGGGGCCATCACTCAGCACAGCTCCTGCTGCCCCAGCTCTGGTCCCTGCTCCTAGCACAGGGAGGCTTCTCACCAAACCAGCCCCCAAACGTTGTTCTGGCAGGACCTAGAACCGAATCAACCTGGTGGTTGTTTTCACCACCAGAGGCAGCTTTGACAAAAAAGTCTCTTCAATTTTTGCTTTCTCAAGTTACACTTTTCTTTTTTTCCCACCAGAGCAGGAACAATAACTTGGTAACTTTCTTCTCGAATTTGGGGGTGGAACATCCAAGATAAGACACCCCCAGCCTGTTACCAACCCCCCAGCACAGCATGAACAGCACACAAGTACTGCTGACAACAACCTGAAGACAAACATCCTGCTGCTTGTTGCTGTCACCTCGAGAGCCCCGAGAGCTCCAGAGCCCCCCAGCAGGTTGTGCTTGCAGCAGCGGGACAGCTGGGACAGCCCCTCTTACCTGGCAGCCCGGAGCTGCTCCCTCCTGCTGGTGGAGCCCTCCTGGAGCTCAGCACAGCTTCACTTGCTTGGAAAGAATCTGTGTCAGTCGAGTTAGAGCTCAAGCTCATTCAAATGTGGAAGTTGAGCAACTTCACTTTTTATTAAAAAAAAAAAAATACCCCACTACGAACCAAACCACCAGGAAACTGAGAAACACTTGCACTGTCAGGAACTGCTGATCTGAGAGGCCAGCTTCAGCTCCAGGGCACTCCCCTCCAGACACATTTGGTGGGAGCTGCTGTGCTGAAACCTGGGCTGTTTTGCCAACTCCACTCAGTGGCAGCATTTCCCAGGTGTAGCACTGACCCACATCAACACAGGCACCTGAGCACAGCCTCAGCCTCTTCCTCAGCCTTATTTGCTAAACAAATCAATCATTCCCAACACAGAGAGGATGACCCTGCAGGCAGCTCAGTGTTTGGGGGCATCTGAGATACAGCAACCCCTGCAGGGAAAGATGGCTCTCTCAGATGAAATGCAGAAGGGTTAAACTGCCCTGTCACGACATGGAACCATTTCCCTTGTTACACAGAGAAGACCAGCTTTTATTTTTTTCCCCTGTGAAAATCAAGAATAAAACCCCACCTACTCATTTCACCGTTTCAAACTTAATATTGCCAAGTTCAGTTGAAACCAAGTTGTCTGGCAGCTTTTGATACATTTCCTGCCAGGTAGATCCTCTTTCCACAGGAAGATGCTTTCATCACTGTTTGAGGCTTTGTTACGAAAGTGTTTCCTTCAGTTCATTTCTAAGATGAAGACATTCATTCAGGGTACCCCCAACAGGAGCACGAGCCCTTATCTGGATGGCAGAACATGTTTATGATTACAGAAGTTCCCTGCACGTCACTATTACACAGAATTCTAAACCAAAACCCATCACTGCATCAGCACCAGACGTTTTCACTCTGAGGTTCTGTATCTGATGGCTGGGAGTGTCTCCCACCAAGGGAGGAACCAAACAGAACCCACAGGCTGGGGCTGCAAGTAATTCCTGCTAAAATGTAACCAGTGGTGACTGATGCAGCTCATTCCAACACAAAAAGGAAATGCCTGTTGATACAGGTAGTGAAAAACAGCAGAGTGGTTGGTTGGTTTGTTTAATGGTAGTTTAGACTCATACAGTTTCACCAGTAGTTAGGAGAGACAGGGGAGTGGAACAGCAGGGGCTCACGCTGTTGCCTGTGCGCTCTTGGATAGCGCCTTCAGGTCCAGGATGCACTTGGCAATGCTTTCCTTCTGCTGCAAGAGACAGGACACCAGGGTTCAGAGCTGATCAAAGACACCCCAACAAGCACAACATGCATCCTAACACATCTTCTGGACTCCTTTAGACTTCAACACAAGTTACAGATGAAAAGGGACGTAACTATAGCTCATTAAGTCAGAAGCTCAATCCCAAACAGTGACCAGTGCCAGGAACACATTTTCTTTTTTTGTTCTCAGCTTCCTCCCTTAAAGGACACCTACAGCCCACCTGCAGATCCTGAACTGCCATGGTCTTAGACATTTCACAAGGGAACCCCCTGACCTGTTAGCTATACACCTTGTCCTAAGCTCTGTGCTGCCATGGCCACCACCACAGATGACTCTGGCTTAAATCACAGCCAACACCAGGCACCTCCTCACAGGGCTTGAGAGCTCCCACTCAGCAGCAGGAACCTGCTGCAGGCACATCTGGGAGTTACCCAGAGATGACCCACCACCCCTTGGCTTCAGCCAGTACCACTGGGCAGCACATGCTCCTAAAAAGTAAAATGTAAAGCAGATGGAAAAAAAAACCCAAACTCTCAAGTACCTGCTGAGGTGTGATGCTCTGAACAACACTCTTCTCCACCCACTGGATCATGTGGTCCTGCTCCCTCTGGCGCTTCAGGTTCTGCATGGCCACCTGGTAGTCCAGCCTCTTCTTCACCTCGTTGTACACGGTCAGCAGCCGCTCCCGGTAGTTGGCCTCCAGCAGCATGGCAATGTTGTTCTGGGGACACATGAAACCCACCAGTGAATGTTTGGCAAGAACACAGAGGGTTGGGCAGAGAGTGCTGCTTTGGTGCACTGAGAGGCCCCAGAAGAGGGGGCAGAGTGAAGAGCAGAGCTGAGCACCCACCCGCTTGGCATCGAAGAGGTAGGAGCGGCCCTCGACCCTCCACTGCTCCTTCTTCTCCTGCTCAATGGCTGTCTCCAGGTCCTTAATGGCCTCGTTTTTCACAGCTAAAGCCTTAGCAACTTTTTCCTGGGAGAAACAAAACACATGCTTCAGAATGAAAGGCAGACACAAGGAGCACGAGCGATGGGTAATGACTTTCTGAAACCCTGCGTGAGGAAGGAGCAGCGTCTGCGGGAGGTGCTGGGGCTGGAGGTGCCCAGGGGAGGAGGAAGGAAGGCTCAGGGGAGGAGGAAGGCTCATTATCAAAACCACTCCTGCTGGTGCAAGGGGTTTCATTTTTGAAGGCACACTTCATTCACGCAGCATTTTGCAGACACCACATTCAGGTTGTTATGACCGCCTGGACACTGTGTGCATTTCAATATTCAAGCAAATAACTTAAGAATCCCAGACTGGTTTGGGTTGGAAGGGACCTTAAAGCCCATCCAGTCCCACCCCTGCATGGGCAGGGACACCTCCCACCAGCCCAGGCTGCTCCAAGCCCCATCCAACCTGCCCTTCAACACTGCCAGGGATGGGGCAGCCACAGCTTCCCTGGGCAGCCTCTTCAGTTTCTAACTCAGATCATGGTTTCTCACCTCATTAAGTTTGTCAGCAAAAGCTGCTACATCAGCCCCAAACTTTTTTACACCATAAATAATGACTGACAATATGCAGAAAGATGCAACTGTCTCGTGGTTAATGACATAGATTTCCTTAGAGAGAAGATACAGCAGGAGTCCAGTGCCCAACATGTAAGGCCCTGAGGAAAAAACAGAGCAGCATTATTAGTACAAAGCATGAAGAAACTCACTAGTCTCACAGCCAAGGGGCAGCTGGTTTAAGGCTGACAAGAAGACCAGGGAGCTCCTTTACCACAACCAACAGCAGAAGCCCAGCACTCCCCAGGGAGGGGGCTCACCAGGAGTGGAAGCCACTTCCCCCTTTCCTGGGACCTGCTGCTTCTGCTCATTCAGAAACAGGCAAAAATCCCTGTTAAAACCTTTGGAGGGTCAGCAAGCAAATACATGTCCCTGCAAGATCAAAGTCATTATGTCCTTTTAGCCTTTATTTAAAGCACAGGTGTCCTGCTTTAAAGCCAGGGGGTGCTGTGCTGGCTCATTCTTCACAACCTTCTTCTGCATAGAGAAGTAATTTTCCCTGGTATTTTACCTTTTCCACAGCCAGAAGGGGTGGACAGAGCTCACAGTGTATAGCTGAACACAAATAAAAGAAAAAAAAAAAGAAAATATATATAAACATTAACCTGTAACTCCTGTTTTAGGATAGAGAAACTGAAAAAACTCCTCAGGGATCAGACCATGACGTACTTCTCCTCCCTTCTCAGGCAGAGGTGGCACAGGAGCCAAGCACTGCTGGGCTGTGTGCAGGGGTCTCCTGGCATGCAGCACGCTGAGAGCAACGAGAAAGTTTCCATTCAATTTATTTTTCTAAAAAAACACAAGCCCCTCAGCACACGCTCCGGGGAGGCTCTGACACAGCCCGGGCTGGAACCCGCCAGCCCTGCCCCCTGGGGGAGGCAGTGGGACTGGGAGGCCTCTGGACCCTCCCTCCCCCCCGGGTACAACCCCAAAACATTGCTCAGAGACAGACAAAACCCCGGAATCACGTTATTTGGGAGCCCTCTCGGGGAGGAGGCAGGGCTGGGGGAGGAGGCGGCAGGGCTGGGGGGGGAGGCGGCAGGGCT